CGACAGGACTGTAATAGTGCGGTAGAGATTTAGATTCTTGCCTCGATTCTCGGAGTCTAGGCTAGGAACCAGGCTAAAAAAGGGAGACGGGAGGCGTCGACCCTGGGCGGACTCGAAGCTTAGAGTCTGGGAACAAGATCGATTCTTTGAGTCCTCATTGGGACTCGAAAGAATCGATCCCAGAGTCGATCTTGCCCTGGCCTATTCATTATACTGCACGTTAATTGTCCCCAGACCTGGCCAATAAGATGTTTTTATCTGGTGAAATCCCATTTGAACAGAAGTCTCAACGTTCCCAAAGTCGAGATATGATGATGCCTACATTTTTCTTCTGAAAGCATCTTGATCGTGTCTGCTTTTTATCGTCCTTTTTTAAATTTGTTTTTGTTTTATGAACTGCAAACAAAGTGGACTTTTTTATTGTAGAAGGGTACCCCTGGTAGGTACTATTTTTTGGTCTTTCCTTCTGTTGTTTCTGTCTTTTTCCCCCTGCACTAAATGACCACTATATGAGTTTCTCTTTCCTCAAAGGTAGACTTCTTCTTGAGTCTTATGGGATAATGGTGAAGAGCTTATCCTTGTTTCCATAATGTGAAGTTGAGCAGTCCTGTGACCATTATACAATGCAGACTGGGGGTGGTTGGCGGGCGCATTGGTGTGGTCTGCTCCTTTTTTTCCTTTCAAACATGAATTGTCCTGATCTCTCTTTCCTTTGTTTTATATGTACTCTCTAGCAACACCTCTAATCTTCAGTATATGACTTATTTGTGTTGCAAGTGCCGTAAATGGGGAAATATTGTGGGCGTTTTTTGTTAAGCGATGTAGTGAAATTTTCTCCTTTTTTGGTGTTGATTTTTGCTGTTAACACTTTTCATTGTGGGCATAGATGGGTGCTCTTGTTTAGTCTGCTTCTTTCACTTATTTTTGCTGCTGCTGCTATTGCTCCTGTGATCTTTGGCCCATAAAAAATCTGTCTCTGAAGAAATGTATTCATTACTGTGCCAACTTACACCTACAACTTAACAGCTATGTAACCCCCGGCGGTGCTATTGACTAAAGTGTCTTTAGGCCATTCCCAAAGGGGGGACATTAACCATGTTCTTATGCACAGTAGAATTGTAAATGGGCTGATTCATCAATGTCATGCTCATAACTGTGCCTGAACTGCCGCAGGGAACTGCTGCTTTTTCTTTCCTAATCCTAACTATGGTCATTTTTCCTCTACTTCTTTTGTATGTTTGCCACACTCTTGTGACCCGCTATTTCGGGGGTGCCTTGATAGTCGAAGCAAACTTTGTGCTGTTGAAGCTAGAGATGTAAGCAGAGCAAGTCTGATTCCCTGTAAGGACTTCTCTGTTGACATCCACCCCTTGGCGCTCATATGACCTTATGCAGTTGCGAGCTATGTAAAACCTCTACTAAAACAACAAAACATAACAGTTACGTTAATATCTTATCTGTATCAGGTTGATAGCACTTCTTTCTATTGGTGAGAGGGCATCACTGTCAGTTCATCCTTTTTTCCTTCTGTCGTTTTTGTCCGTCTGTCTTACTGTTTTGATGTAGTTATATGCTTCTGTTTTGTCAAGATATACTCCAAAATGCTATCTTGGTATTATGTTTAATTTTATGAAAGTAAAGTTCATGTCTCAAGAAATTGATATTGTCATTCATAGTCATATTATTATTTTTACTATTATTTTATTGTTATTATGATGATGATCAAAGTTATTTTTATTATCATTGTTATTAGTATGTCCCCCCTGAAAATAAACTTTTGCTTTTTGCTGTTATCATCACTGTGGAAGAGAACACTTGTAGTAACCTTGTCAGGGTAGGGGACAAAGGGATAATTACCAGCGGTCTGTGCTGTAATGGATAGGCTCTTCAGTTGCTGCACACAAAAGACAGGAGTTTCATTCCAGTGTTGGAAAGTTTTTGTATTGATGCTGTATCCCTCTAAAAATCCTTAGTTGACTCCCGACAGGCAGGTTTGAAGTGCCACGTCTCCTAAACTATTTAAATTGTATCAGTGGGCCTGTAAATACTGATTAACCTGCTCTAACAGCTACCTTTAAAGGGCAATCGCTTGCACAAACAGCCACATCCCTCATTTTCCTTGTGTATCTTTTTACATTGTATTGAAAGTGTAAAACACCCACCTGTCTAAGACTGCCACTTTTCTCCTGACCATAAATGGATTGCCGTCTTGGACAATTTCGGCTGTATTTACAATCATTTTGTGATGTGATAATTTATATTATAATTTATATCTTCAGGAATACGTGAAGAGTCCAGCAGCAGCCCGGGACTGAGCCAGTTGAACCCGTCCACTCCAGAGTTTATTCCTCAGAAGGCTGGGACAACAGCCGGTCAGGAGGCGGACAGTGATTCGGTCCCCTGGAGTCCCGAGTTAACTCCCTCGGGGACTGAACAGAGTTGTCGCAGAGAAGTCTTTGGAGAAAACAGGGAGGAAGTCGAGGGTGCCACATCATCTTCAAAACCACAGCCGCCGAAACAGATTTCTACATCAGAAGTGGGGGTTCAGACAAGTGTTGAAGGCCCTGACCTTGAGAGTTTGTGTGCGGAGTGTCTCCAGAAGCTGTCTCTGTTGAGGTCAGAGACGACTAGCAGTGCCGCTATTTTCTCCAAGACGAAGGTAAAGTATGGCTGAACTAACGGCCTGTAGATTTCTTTGTCATATACTATCATTAAGCTTTTCACTGTTCTGTGCAGAAGATACGAGTTCGATTCCTGAGATGGAAAGTTATTTTATTGAGCATCTTTGGGGGATGCTCTATCCCACTCAGCCCAGGGTGGCCTTGACAGGCAGAGTTGAAACAGTCGGCTCCTTAATGACCTAAATTGTGTTGATGAGGGTGCAAAACAAATACGGTCATTTAGAAATACTTGACACTATTTAAAAAGCATGAATTGTGAAACGGTGAGTCGGGGGGGGGGGGGGGGGGCATCAGGTAAAAGGGAGTCGGCTGGATTTTCTCTTTGTTCATCAAGACAGGATCCCTAATTTTTTGAAAATTTTATTTGGTCTCAGATCAGGAAGATATTAACCCTTTCACTTCCATTGAAATATGTCATGTGCCAGAAGAAACAAAGTGCCCTTTATATTCTGAGCTGGTCAGTACAAAAGGCTAAAGGCAGAGAGTTTTCAATGGTTGGTTTGAGGGTGTCAGTGGTAGATCTTGCTTTTTCCTTTCCCCAGTGTTGTTTCTGTTTTTCTCTTTCCAAGCGCTAGGTATGAATGCTATAGTGTTGATGTGCCTCTCTTTTACTCAAACAAAAATAGCAGTGCCTGAACACTGCCTGATCTATCCACAGGCCCAGCTCAAACTCAGTGATACAAAGTGCGCTTTTATCCATTTATTTTGAGAAGTCACCAGATAATATTAGAGTTCCCCAATTTTTTGTTTGTATTAAAAGAAATGTATGTGCTGTGATATAGTCTGTTGGAGAAGGTTCTCCATATGGACATGGAAGAAATGATGTATGTATCAGGTGCTCTGGAGGGAGATTTCCCACACACAATTGATGACCCACATAAATGAAGGTCCACACAACTGATGAACTACTTAAATAATCCACACAATTAGCCCCTTCAATGCGACAGATATTGTGCCGTGGGAAATCCCATAAACCAAAGCGGCTCAAGGGTGACCCCACTCTACCTCCCAATAACTTTTTTATTTATGAATATTTCCTCATGAATTTCTGCATGTACATTCTACATTAAACCACGTTTCTATTGATATAATTTTAGGGGGCTTTCATTGAGAGATAGATGGAGAAAAATTGGTGTAAGTAACATGATACCAAAAACAACACCACCAAGCAACATAAAACAACACACATTCGAGTAATGATAAACTGAGACCAAAAAAGGGGAATACATGTTGTGTGAGTGTCTGCAGGTAAAGAGGCTCGTACAATCCAAATATGTACATGTAAGCCCATTTGTGTTTACTGCCAATAAATCATTTTGTGAGGTTGATGTGTTAGAACTAGATCTAAATCTAATCTTCTCTTTGAGCTAAAATCTGAACCTGACGCTTTCAAATGGGGGGGGGGGGGGGGGGGTGGTGATAAACATAAAGGGAAGGTACCCCAATAATAATTACGAGATTTTAAGTTACTTCCCTTATAATTGGTATCAAAACAACCTCTGTCACAGTCCCGTAAATTCTATGGGCGCGACAGTGAAGAGGTTAATGACTCACATAACTAATGATCCACACAACCGATGAATCACTTAATCCACATAATTAATGACTCCCTAATTAACTAATGATCCACACAACAGATGAACCGCTTAAATAATCCACACAATGACTGGCATATTTAACTAATGATCCACACAACAGATGAACCACTTAAATAATCCACACTATTAATGACTCGCATATTTAACTATGATCCACACAACAGATGAACCACTTAAATAATCCACACAATAACTCGCATAACTAATGATCCACACAACAGATGAACCACTTAGATAATCCATGCAATTGATGATCCATACAAATAATGATTCTCACACAAATGGTGTCAATATGATTCTTCCTGGTTGTGTAAGATTTCTTGTGGTTGTTGTCAGTATTGCATGTAGTCACAACAATATCTGTGTTTTTATTTATATTTTCAGGAAGCACAAGAGTTTAGATTATCACACTCACACGTTTTCAGAACATTTACTCTGAGCAAAAAAGTCAAGTCTTTATAGATCTACTTATCGATCACTTAAAACAAACGTTTTCAGAATATTTTCAAGAAGCACATTAGATGTTCACTCTCACATGCTTTCAGAATTGACACTGAGCAGAAAAAGTTTTTATAGATCTACTTATCTTTCACCTACAACGATTGCTTTCAGAATATATCCACGGAGCACAAAACCAAGTACATTTGTGGTCAAGCGGCTAGTCTGCTCCGTGACTCACTGGACTTGCTAGAGGACCTGGTAGAGGTGAAAGTGAGGCTGCGTCGAAGGCTATCGGCCATGTGCGAGCAGTTTGGTGCTAAGGTGCTCACATCTTGTTGGTCTTGTCTGTTTGCGATGCATCATGTTGCTCCCCCCCCCACCTGTTTTCTTTTGGCTTAAGGGGAGACACGATTGGGGCCACAAAACTTTTTTTTTGGAACAGATGAAATATAGTCTGGAGTGATTTCCTGGTGATAAAAGGGTTTACTTATGTATTCTGATGGACTTTTCTACCATTCTATCCCATTTGGTTCCTACTAAAGTCAGATTGTGGCTTTAGCCTGCAAAATGGTGTAATTTTGTGACTAATTACTCACTTACATTTAGCATTGTATACTGGTGATAAGAAATGGGTACAGCTTTTTGATTGTGTATAAAACCTAATCTTGTGAATCTTTACGCTTTTCTTTTCATGTGAGTAATACTAAGTAGTCTTAAAAGTAGGTCTCGTGCAATAGAAATAATAATTTGGTGCTTTAATTAGTGTTCACAGCATCAACTTAAAAAAAATTTAAAGTCTGTGGGTGGTTGCCGGGTGCTCTGGTGTGATTTGCTCCTTCTTTTCTATCAAACATCTATCATCCTGATCTCTCATCCTTTTTTGTGTTTGTTACTGTCTTGTAACACCTTTAATCTTCGGCACATATGACCTTATTGTGTTGCAAGTGCCGTAAAACTCTTACTAAATCAAAACAAAACTTGAAAAACTGCTTTTTTTCCTGAATATGTGGCAAATTTTTTTCTATTATTTGTTTATTGATGAAATTTAGGTCTTTGTTTATCAAAGACTGTGATAGCAATTCGTCGCCTATCACACCAAAGGGCGTATCCCTGTTTTCTTACTTTTTCAGGAGAGCGATTTAAAGATTTTCAGACTTTGGTTGCTTCATCCTTTTCCCTTGTCATTTTAGTAAACTGCATCCTACCATCGGGATATTTGGATATTGTGGGTATGATAAGATATCAAACAATGAGCAAGATTGATTTTGCAGTGTTTTGTATAATTTCACTGCGAAAATGTGCCATCTGTTGGCATACGCCCTTTCGTGTGATTGTTCTATTTTTCGTCCTGTCCAGAATCAGTGTATACGCCCATGTATACGCCCTGTGTTTGAGTGTCCACACAATTAATTTCAGTCTTCAGACTGACCAGTAGAGGATAAAATTTCTCCAAGACATCACTCCTCACCCCCCCATTCCACCCGCCAACCCCATACCTCTCTGTCTGTCTGTCTGTCTGTCTGTCTGTCTGTCTGTCTGTCTGTCTGTCTGTCTGTGTGTCTGTCTGTCTGTCTGTCTGTCTGTCTGTCTGTCTGTCTGTCTGTCTGTCTGTCTGTCTGGAAAGTCTCCTCTTGTAGAACAAAGCATCTTCATGTGAAATTGGTAAGTATATGACCTGCTGGGGATCAAAGTTCCCAGCCAGAATGCTGTGGTCAGCTTGAACCATCTTCTTGCAATCCCCCTTAAGTTGTCACACCTTTTATTTTTCTGCATCGTGCCGATTGTAAATTTCCCTGAGTTCATTTTTCTGTGCTTCGTCCCCTTTTCAGAAAGAGTTGCAGATTGAGAATTGGTCCTTTTTAGGACTGTGAAAGGCCAGGTTTTTTTGTCTTAACACTTGTCTGAATGTGTGAAAACTTGGGATGTCATTGCATGGATTTTTTTTTTAACGAACAAGTCGTACATTTTGGACAATGTGAGGTCTGGGTTGAGATACTCTTTGCTGGAAGAGGCCCCACAGTAGTGCGATTCCACGTGTGGAAATCTGTCAAGGTGTTGACTGGTTTCTCCCTGTTTTGTTCTTCTCTTGTCTTCATCTGCTCCGATTGCCTGCCCCCTCGCTTGCCTTCTTCCTCAATGCCGGTCTCTGTAATCTTTGACAAAACAACTCGGGCACATTTCTCTGAAATACCCAAGGTTGCAATGAATGTGTTCCTACACACTTTCAAACGCTTTCCACTGACTGTGATGTAATAAACATGCGTTTTGCTGCGTCGAGAGTTTGGTTTCCCGACCTTGGGCTCTGTCGTCTCAATATGCCACGCAACGAACTCTCGCTGCTTCTGCAGGTCAGCCAGTTTATAAAAGTCCTGAAATATCTCCTTCCTATCCGTTCCTGAGATTCCAGAAACTGACAGCCAGCTCTCGTACATTCCATTCAACGCAGCCCTTTCTCATCATTCGTGCTGGAACAAGCTTTGTCGTGTCGGCGCTCATGTACTATTCGCAACATTGTCGCTTTCTTTTTGCATCGTTCTTCGTGATGATTCTCTTCGTTTCTTTGGCGACGCCTGGCGGGCTGACCCTTCAACTTCAAATGATTCTGGTAGCCGCTCGTTGCTACTCTGGCTCTCATTGGTCTCAAAATCATTGTGCGCTATGGATTCAGAGTTTGTTGATTGCCCTGTCTTTCCATGTTGACTACAAAATACTGGAATTTCTAGGAAATGATCATAGCAGAGGAGAACTAAACATCCGGTGCATGCTGCAAATACTTCAGTTTTGCATTTTTAAAAATTTACTTTTGCCTGGTTTGAAAGATGGGTCCGTGTCCAAATCATCGAAGTAACCAAGGCCAAAAGATTTTGTCTTCATTCTCAGCCTCGTGTTGATCAGGAAATTCAATTGTCATTGTAGGCCTACATTTCCTAAGTTTAACTAACGGAATGTCATCTGCCAAAGTCGGAGTCACCACAAGAAAAATCCCCGATAGTCTGAGTACAAGCTAAAGAACAATTTCGGTTGAGTTTCTTTGTGTGTGTGAGTGTGTGTTTGTATGTGAGTGTGTGTGTGTGTGTGTGTGTGTGTGTGTGTGTATAAAATATGAAGATTCAGGGGCTACTTACATGGCTCACCAAGTAGACATGTCTTCGGATCAATATAACAAAGTCTAAGTCCTGATGTTTTTATCACTTCAGTCTGTAGCACTGCCCTTTGGGGGGGGGGGGGGGGGGTCTAGATAGCGTTGCCTTCTAGTTAATGAGTGTGGAATAATACGCTAATGGAAAAACATAGCTGAGCTATATTCATATGTATTTTCTGACAAAAAGTAGAACTGATTTAAATTTGATCAAACCCAAGTTTGCTTTTTCTAATGGTTTCCAATAGTCAGCAGGCAAGCAGATCACGTTGTGTGTGTGACAGTAAGCTGCAAGCAACAGTAAAGAAGTGTAGGCTAACAACACAATAAGGACCGCCTCATTTTCACTCTTGCACAAGCAGGATTCGCTGCAACACAGTGCGTGTACTCTGTGTTGTGTATCAGGCCTATTGCATTAGAGGAGGGCCTAATATTACAATGATATTACGTTATACGGCCTTGGCCTGTGCCAGAAAAAAAGACAAAAGTGTTCCTGTCGCTCACACGAAGGGGCGTATCCAAGGTATACGTCCTTTCGTGCTAACAGAATTGATCAAACTTTGTATCAATTTTTTGCACACGAAATGGCGTAAGCCTGTGTACGCCGTTTCGTCTGATTCGGCGGCGCTGAGTGTCAGCGTACGCCCTTTGGGATTTTATACTGCTAGTACTGTAGTTTTAAAGCTAGGGATACGCCGTTTCGTGTGAACATAGATCTGAGGCAGCGCTATCTACTAGTAGTAACAACTGAAAACTGCCAAAATCTGGAATACACCCTTTCGTGTGATAGGCGACGAATTGTTCATTGTCACCCAAGAAAGATAGACCAGAGAGATCAGTCCATCGACATGCTCTGCGTTTATGTTGTTGCCAGGACGTGTCAGTTTTTCTGTCGACATTGAATGTCCTGCAAACAGCAGAAATGCCCGGAGTATGCTGATGACCTGATTTCTCTGATGTTGAGTTAAACCTACCATCTTTCTTGGGCGACAATAATAAAATGTTAATGTGGTTTTTGATAAACAAAGACCTAAAAACTTCATTAAAAAACAAAGAAATCTGCCAAGTGGTCAGGAAAAAATTTCTATTTTCTATTTTTTATGTTGGTGCTGTGAACACTAATTGAAGCATCAAAATGTTAGTTTTATAATAAAACTTGACATACTTTTAAGACCACTAAGTACCGTATGACTCACGTGAAAGACTAGATTTTGTATACAATCAAAAAGTGTTCCCTTACTTTTGACCAGTTTGATATAAACCATCAGTTGGGTGTGAGTGATAGTATTTGTAAATTCCAAGGGGCTGGTTACCCCATGTTTTAATTTTTTATCTCGTCTTTGTTGTTGGTTTTATTTTTTCAACCTGTAACAGCACGATGTTCTTTAGGTTTAGGAAGAGTTTTACGGCACTTGCCACACAAGAAGGTAATATAAGTGCCGAAGATTAGAGGTGTTACAAGAGGGTAACAAACACGAAAGAGGAGGAGAGATGTGGACTATAAATGTTTGATAGGAAAGAAGGAGCAAACCACATCAGAGAGCACCTGCCGACCACCCACACAGGATGTTCTGCTCCTCTACTTTTAAGGGAAGCAGAAACTTGAATTTTAATGAGCGTTTTCATTGACTTAAGTCAGCTGTTCTTTTTCTTCTTCTTTGTTTATGTGAGATACTCAAAAAGTTTTGATTGGCATCTGTGGTGCAGTAGTTAGGCTCTTTGCTGTCATAACCAAAACACATGGGTTTTATTTCCCTAATGGGGGGAGCTTTTTTTTATCAAGCGTGCCTGACAGTTTGCTATGATTCTGTATCCCTCTCAGAACTTTACCTGTGTTGACCCTGACAAGAAGGACTGAAGCAGCTGGTCTTCGAAATGATCTAATTTTTCTTGATGGGGGTGTAAAACATTTTTAATCGTATACAAGTACCACATACTGCAGAAAGAGGTGGATTATTAAAAAGTGGAGATATCAATGAGTCTGCTCAGTTTTCATTATAAAAGAACCCCCCCCCCCCAAAAAAAAAAAAAAAAAAAAGCAGAACTATACATTTGAAGAAACAGGGGGAAAATGAGGCACTCAATAGCAGCTTAGATTTTTGTTCGCTTTAAATATTGACACAGAAGGTGACAAAAGTTTTGTTGTCTATCTCGTCACCCAGCGGTCAGCCAGGACATGCTGGGAGGATGAAGTCATCTGCGACTCTGCAGCCAATCTCCTGGCAGACTCGCCCAACCTGGCAACTGCTGAGAACAATGCCAAATTTTTCCGTCTGCTCTCGGAGAAAGTGAGGAGTCATTTTGAGGTAAATGTCCGGAGTCGCCTAAGAAGTAATTATCTATAGAGTCACCTAGAAGTAAAGATTTGAAGTCGCATTTAGCCTGAGGTAAATACCTGGGGTGGGTGGTTGGTGGTTGCTCTGGTGTGGTTTGCTCCTTCTTTCCTATCAAACACCTATCGTCCTTTTCTCCCCTCCTTCTTTTTTGTGTACGTTACTCTCTTGTAACACCTCTATTCTTCGGCATTTATATGACCTTACTTTGTTGCAAGTGCTGTAAAACTCTTACTAAAACTAAAAAACTGATATACCTGGAGTTGAAATTACCCTGAGGTATATATCTGAAGACGGATTTACCCTGAAGGTAAATGTCTGGGGTTGAAATTACCTTGAGGTAAATATCTGGAATTGGAGTCACTCTGAGGTAAATTAAATATGTTTCTTTTATTTCATTTCTGTCTGTTTGTTAGACTTTTTCCCTGCACTAAATTGGCATACTAGGACACGGTAGTAAAGCAGCGTTTATTTACACGTTCTTATTAACCATCTATTAACTAGAGAGGCTCCTTGAAATGCCGCCAGTCGCAGCCAGTTAATGATGCGCGGGTGGTTGGGGGGAGGCGCTGTGATGTGGTTTAGCTCCTTCTGTCCTATCAAACACCTATCGTCCTTCTCTATTCCAGACCTGTAAAAGTTCGTGCAATTGGAATGGCCAAAATTTTCAAAGGAAATGTTCGATTTCAGCAAGTCTTTAAAATTGGTGAATGTGATGGAGTTCACACTTGGAAAATGTCCAAAAATAATTTGAAGATACACAATAACTAGGCCTGTAAAGTGATCCTGATCAAAGACTGGTTGAAAGTTCATTTCACAATCTTCTGTACGGCAGTATTTTGAATTCACTGGAGTAGTTACATGATTTTTTAAATAAAATCTGTGGGTATCGAGTGCATACCTCTAGTCACAACTGTTACAGAGGAAGAAACATTTAAATAAATAACTTGCTCTTGCTGTGCTGCAGGGGAAACAGCCTCTTTAGAACCAGTGTACCCTTCCTAACATTGTCACATTTTTTTCCAGATCATATAAAGAAATTCTTTTTTTGTTTTTAATTTTTCAACATGATGTATAGTAGTTTAGGGGCTCAGTCCCTTATTCTAGAAATTCAGGGCAGGACAGCTCCTTATGGAGCAAATGTTTGGTAAGCTTTGCAGAGAGAGAGCCAACGAATGATGATTGTACTTCATTGGCATTCAGAAGTCTTGTCTTAACTTTTCTTGTGAGAAATTAGAAATGGAGTATTGAAGGTTCAGGAAAAAGTCTGGAATTTTTCTTTCTCATTAGCTAGAGCTCTGTCTAACCCTATTTATATTGTTGTTGATGTATGGACAGGCCGAAGGGCTAGAACCCAGATGGCCGCTGGATCGGAAAAGTAAAGTAAAGTAGTAAAAGCTAATGTATGGCTTTAGTTAAGTGTCAAGCTAAGAACTTCAAAAAAAATGTTTTGCGGGTGGTTGGAGGATGCACCTGGTTGATCCTATTTCTTTTCTTTACATCTGCTGTTTCTGTCGATCTATCTCACTCTTTCGAAGCACTAAATGACCATTATTTTGTTGATGTATCTCTCTTTACTCAAACAAGCAAAAATTTCTTTCAGATGGCCCATGACTTGCTGGCAAAAGTTTCCAGCAATGATGAAATGCAGACGTCTGAGCCCAAGCTGGAAACGTCAAGCTCTGTCTCACAGCTATCTTCTGACTGTTCCAACAAAGTGCCTCACACTCCTCTCACAGTTCCAACAGCGAAGGTTTCACTTCCCCTGCCCGCTCAGACCGTTGCTGGGCAGTTGCCAGATGCAGACCCGTTAACAGATCTTGAGCTCATGTCTAGTCTCCTGTTGGGCAGCCCGGGCTCTATGGATGCGGCTTGTCCGAGTCTGTCTGCATCGTCTGTGCCCACGATGGCCATGGTTGGTCTCATGCCACAGAACCTAGGACTCTCCACTGGGTTGGAGCAGAGATCTGAACCTCTTCAGCCCTTTCCCAGTGTTGGAGGGCTTCTGCCGGGTGCTGTGGACCTGCCAGGGGCTGGGTCAGAGCTGTTGGGACATATCGGCCATCTTGGACTAGGGGGAGGGAGTTCTCAAGCTACTCACCAACAAGACATATCCCGAAGTCTTGCTACCACTGTTGGGAATGTTGGAAATGTGTCAGAAATCCTGGACCCTAGTAGCCTTGACCTTCAAAAACAGCTGGAACTACTGCGATTAAGCCAACTGCGGCAGTTGCAGTTCCAGAAATTAATTGAAAATCAGAAGGCGCAAAATGATGTGCAGAATAGACTTGGTATTGGTGTAGGTGTTGATGGCAACTTCCCTCTAGCCAGTACCGACCAACAGCTGTCAGTGCAGAAACTTTTGGAGAATTGTTTGCCTCTTGATCATGCACAGGAGAAACTCCGAGCGGGTCTGGACATAGGTTCAACTGGGACAAGTGTGGAGGAGGAGACCTCAGAGGTGGACCTGAGTTTTTTTAACGCGCTAATGGCTCAGAACCATCAGTCTGTACAGGGGCTCAACTCCAAACTGGAAGAAGTGAAGTCCTCGGCGTCTGAGTGGAGAGATCCCACAGAGCTAGGACGTAATAGTGATGTCAATGGTCAGATAGATGGGCTGGCTTCGTGTGATGTTGCAAAAGCCCACACAAAGCCTAGCACCAGGAAGTTACGGACTGTATGCAGGAAAAAGGTCCCGCCCCTGGATCTCCGTTTTCAGAGGTCTACGAAAGGTGAGGAAGGGTCGTTAAAGACAGGGGCTGGTCAAGTCAATCGTATCATTGACAAGCATGATGGTGATATTGTAGGATCACACATTGGTGCTGGTGTGTACGAAAATGGTGATGGGTCAAGTGCTGTTCAAGGAAGAATGAATGGTTCTTTAGCTGGTGTTGTGCACGCGGCAAGTGTTTCTCCTACACCGACAAACATCGGAAAACGCATGAACCCGCTGCAGAGGAAACGCTTGAAGATGCAGCATCAGCAACAGCAGACTGACAGTGACCCTTCGTCTCTCAAACCAGGTCTAAACTGTGCAGAGTCGAGGACCCAGGAAGCAGCTGTCGCTCCGAAAATTTTGGAGGGTTTCAAATATGGCGCTCAGGCAAACAGCTTTGTGGAATCTGCGACTCTTTCTCGTTGGGAGTTTTCTGCAGAGGAGGCAGAACGCAGAATTTCGGCACTTGAAGAGAGTTCTAGTGAAGGCAAACAGGAAGTCTGTGATGCCGGAGCCTCGCGCAGTCGATTGTTCTTCTCTAACCTCGACGCTGTGTTCCCACTCAAGAAGTCGAGGTCAGGTCCTGATGAATCTTTCCCACACACCGGTTTGCAGTCGATCATTCCAACAGAGATGTATGGGCATCGTGGACAGATCATGGGTCATTTTTGTAATGAAGATGACCTCAGATCAAGGTCATCATCTTCTGAATACAGTTCAACGAAATCATTGGATTATAACAGGAAACATTGTGAAGTGCCTGTGGGAGTAATGACTAGTTGTGCAAATGTGGACGACACCATGGACAACACAGCTCGTGTGCATGGTGACGTGTCTGGTAGTTGTTCAACGCTATCTAGAAGGTCCTCGGACAGTTCGAAGGCTGTGGACGCTGAGGAGGAGAAGAGTGACCAGTGGCCCGTCTCAAGGTCCACCTCAGGTTCTCTGACTTCATGCAGACAGTCAGGTGAGGACCTCTCACGGGGGCTTTCTTTGTAGCGGGTTGGTTGGAGGGCACTGCTGATTTGTTTCCCTTTGTACCTTTTGTTTTTATTTTGCCTTATATGGTTCTTTTCCTCTGTTCTTTCTTTTTTTATCTTGTCTTTTATGGTAAAAATCTACTTGAGCTCAGTATTGTGAGTTAAAAGTGTCTTTACTCTTTCGCGCATGATGTCGCAGTAATCCACGTGACCTCCATAGAGAGTAGATAGAGGGGACCTCGGATGTGCTTAGTAGGTCAGGTAGGTTCAGAAAGGAAAGCTCTAGTAGACTTTTACCCTCAACTCTTACAAAAACTTTGTGGGTGGTTGGCGGGTGCTGTGGTGTGGTTTGCTTCTTCTTTCCTATCAAACTTCTATCGTCTTTATCTCCCTTCCTTTTTGGTGTTTGTTCCTCTTTTGTAACACCTCTAATCTTTGGCACTTTATGACCTTATTGTGTTGCCAGTGCCGTAAAACACTTACTAAAACATACAAAAAAAACCTTCTTTGTCTCCTTCTTTTGAGGTTTATATGATAGCTACAGAATAGATGGGAAATTGCGTAGCTAGTAAGATTGTTTTCAGAAAGGTACAAGGATGTTTAAGTTTCCAGAAATACATGTAAGTCCTGACACTTTTCTTTCTGAGCTATTATTGTCCAGATCAGTTTGTTTTGGTGGATGACTGGTAGGTGCTCTCGTCTATCGTCCTGATCTCTCCTCCTTCTATTTTGTGTTTGTTCCTCTCTTGTAACACCTCTAATCTTCGGCACTTATATGACCTTATTGTGTTGCAAGTGCCGTAAAACTCTTTACTAAAACTAAAAAACTCGAATCTTCAGCTTTTATATGACCTAATTATGTAGCATGTGCTGTAAATGCTTGTAAATTAAAACTAAATGTTTTCTACCCCCTCCCCCCGGGGGCAGTGCCATTGACTGAAGTGTCTTTAGGCCATTGGCCTAAGATTGGATATTTCTCGTTCTAATGCAGCACAGTAGAATTGTAAATGGGCTGATCGAACAATGACAATGTCATGCTCATAACTGTGCCTGAACTACAACAGGGAACTGCTGCTTTTTCTTTCCTAATCCTTACTATCGTCATTTTCCTCTACTTCTTTTGTATGTTTGTCACTCTCTTTTGACCCGCTATTTCCGGGGTGCCTTGATAGTCGAAGCAGACTTTGTGCTGTTGAAGCTAGAGAGGTGAGCAGAGTAAGTCTGATTCCCTGTAAGGACTTCTCTGTTGACATCCACCCCTTGCCGCTCATACGACCTTATGCAGTTGCGAGCACCGTAAAACCTCTACTAAAACAAACAATAAATGTTTTTTATAAGAAATTGGCCTTTGTAATCTACAGCACTGTTATGAGAATCTCATGTATGTCTCAGTAATGTGATTCCCCCTCCCTCCCCCCTCTCCCCCTCACAGCTCCAGGTTCAGGCCTTGAGAACATTTTGGCATCTGAAAAAATTTCGTACGCTGTGACAGCCTCCAGACACAGGCCGCAGTCAGCAGCTGTCAGCACTCACGGCGACATTGTGCTGGAACAAGAGCATGGCCAGTGGGAGAAGAAGCCGTCAGTGTGTGCTCCCCAGGCTCGGATGAAATCATCTATGTATGATCTGGATGAGTTCTCTCTAGATACAGATGAGCTCATTTCTGCCAGTAAGTCAAAAAGAAATTTTTTTTGGTTGTTATTTTCATCGTGTCGGAGGTAGGCTTCTTCTTCCCTGCCTCTCGAAGATAATCACTTTTCATCTCAAAATGGGGGGTCATTTTAGACAGGTTCAACTGTATCTTTGTTTCCGAAATGAATATATGCATGCCCTGTTTCTATCTACATAACTTTTATTTTTTGTGCAGTCAGGTAAGGACTGAAATGTACTATTTGAAGCCAGCATCCCAGACTGTCTTTCGTAAAGGATTTGTGGCATCATTGTGCAGTTTGTTGAAGGGATACCTTAGAGCCTTTCAGTGTTTTGCCTCACTTTTCTCTCACTCAGCCTGCACTCACACTCTGCTTTTACCAGCTGTTTGCGTGCTGCAGTTTGCTTACCTACCTTGTATGCATTACAAAATGGGGCTGGGTGGGTGGTTGGTGGCTGCTCTGGTTGTTTTGGTCCTTCTTTCCAAAGGATCTATTAAGAGGCACTGTCAAGATGTTCAAAAGGTTGAATTTATAAAAGCTTGACATATTGAATGATATGAAAACAAAAATTTTGTACGTCAAATTCCTCAAGACTGGGTACTTAGCTATGGTAGCGATATGCAGCTCAAGTGTATTGGTCTAGTTGTTTTTGTTCTTACTTGCTTTTCATGTTAGGTTTCTTCTGTTTGCTGAATTTTTTTTTCTGTGAGTGGTTTGCGGGTGCTCTGTTGTGGTTTGCTCCTTCTTTCCTATCAGACATCTATCGTCTTTATCTCCCCTCCTTCTTTTCTGTGTTTGTTACTCTCTTGTAACACCTCTAATCTTTGGCACTTACATGACTTTATTGTGTTGCAAGTGCCGTAAAACACTAAAACTAAAACTTTTCTTTTTCTTTGAGTGCCTTGAGGGTGTCACTGGTAGGTCCTACTTCTTTTCCTTTCCTCTGATATTTCTGTTTGTCTTTATTTTAGGCTTGTTAGTTACAGGTGATTTTAGGAGTCGTGGGACCATTTATTTGTTATGCAACAAATGTCGTCAATGTGTCTTAGCTTTTGTGTTTATCAGGTCTTGTCTGTCGTTCAAATTTCTGGAGTAGGTGGTTGGATGACACCATTTGTTGGTCCTTCTTTTCTTTCCTCTGTTGTTTCTGTAGGCCTGTTTTGCTTTTTCGTTGCATTAAGTGGGTGGTTGGCATGTGCTCTGGTGTCGTTGGCTTCTTCTTTGCTATCTACATTTTTTGCCCTTGTCTCTCCTCCCTTTTTGTGTTTGTTACTCTCCTTTAACACCTTTGATCTTTGCCACTTACAAGACCTATTTGTTTTGCGAGTGCCTTAAAACTTTTACGCAAAATAAAGAACATTACCATTCTCAATTGTTTATATGTTCAGGTAAGAAGAAGAAGATGCCAACCGCGCAGACGGGGGACTTGGAGGAGGACAGAACAGATTGTGTGGAGGAGAAGGTTGAGCGGCCGGCTGCCTCGACTCTCCATGACGATGGCTGGAAAACGGTGTGGAGATTTTTCTTGTGTTGAGGCAGTTCTGGGTTTTCATGGGTCTCAAAACTAATGACTTCTGTTGTGCTTTTTTTCATAGGGATCAGGGGTGGGGGTGTGGGGTGTTAATCGGCTCCTTTCATCGTAAGACTGCAAACTGACCTTGTTGGAAGGAAAGTGCGGGTGGTTGGAAGGTGGCACTGGTGGGTCTTACTTCTTTTCTCACTGGTAAGTCTTACTTCTTTTCTTCCCCCCCCCCCCCCCCTTCCAATCTTAAATACTTTTCATGTATAGCTTCTCTTGTGTTGCTAACATTTTATTTTTTTTGTAGATGGTTGGAGGGCATCACTGGGTAGGTCCTTCTTTTTTTCCCCCCCTTGTTATTTCTGTCTGTCTGTCTTACTGTTGCCCTGCACTAAATGACTGTTATTACCTAAATGTGCTCCTCTTTTCTCCAAATGGATCATATCATAAAGTCTGATAGTTTTTTTTATCTGTGTTCTCCATCCTCAGGTGGGCAATCCGAAGAAAAACAAGAAAAGTATAACGGGGCCAAATCTCACTGAGTTCCGGACCTCGGACAAGTTCCACAACCTGACCATGGTGGTCATGGCAACCTTTGACTCCCTCAACAAGTGAGTTTCAGGCTGGGTCAGTTAGTTTTAGTAAGGTTTTACGGCGCTCGTAACTGCATAAGGTCATATGAGCACCAAGGGGTGGATGTCACCAGAGAAGTCCAAACGTGGAATCAGACTTACTCTGCTCACCTTTCAACCCTCAACAGCACAAAGTCTGCTTCTACTGTCCAGGCGCTCCGGAAATAGCAGTTCACAAGAGGGTGACAAACATACCAAAGAAGTAGAGGAAAAATGACGATAGTAAGGAAGAGGAAAAAAAAAAGCAGCAGTTCCCCCTATGTGGCTCCGGCACAGTACCGTATGAACATGACATTGGTAAATCAGCCCATTTACAAGTATACTGTACATAACATGTTAATATCCCCCCTTCGGGAATGGCCTAAAGACACTTTAGTCAGTGGCACTACCAGGCAGGGGGGGGGGGGCTGGGTCAGGGTCAGATGTTACTAAGAGGGTGGTTGGTTGCTGGGTGCTCTGATGTGATCTGCTCCTTCTTTCCTATCAAACAACCATCTCCCTTATCTCTCCCCCTTCTTTGTTGTGTTTGATACTCTTTTGTAACACCTAATTTTCAGTACTTGTGTTACCAAATTGTGTTGCAAGTGCCATAAAAACTCTTACTAAAGCGAAAAGATGTTATGTACAGGGTTGCTTACAGGGGCTAGGTCTTGGTCTTTTGGTGTTTTTTGGTTTTTTTTACTCATTTTGTATTTTGTGTATTGATGAATTAATAGGTTGTTTGTCTTTTTTTTAAAAAAATATTCTAGTGTTTTACGTGTTGAACAAAACAGTTGACTGGCCAACACTCAGTTTAGACCACTTTGGAAGAAAATTTGGTGATCCTAGGTATGACTGTATTTTGACGCAATGGTAGAGTTGTTAACTCTGACCACAACACTTGAGTCACCTCCCTTTGTCTTGCAGGTAGTTGGAAGGTGCCTTTTGTAGGCCCCTTCATCTTGTCCTTCTGTTTTTTCTGTCCCTGTGTCTTATTTCACTAAGTTGAGTATACTGGTCTTTCTGCTGAGTGGTCATATCCCTCTCAGCCTGGGTTGGCCCTTACAGGCAGAGTTAAGCCCACCTCCCAAACAATTTAAATTATGTTGATGGGGATATAAAAGAACATCTGCATAAGAGAAATTTTTTAAAAAAATTGTTGTTGTTATTGTCATTGCTATACAACAAAGCTACGAGCGCAGTCTTTTTCAACAACATTGGGGAATGGTTCCGAACAACAGTGGGAGTATGCCAGGGTTGTCTGCTCTCACCCGCTCTTTTCAACATTTTCTTGGAGAGGTTCATGACATGCATTTGAAGATCATGAAGGAACAGTCAGTATTGGGGGCAGAACGATTAATAACTTAAATTTTGCAGACGACATAGGCGGCCTTGCAGGACAAGAGCAAGAAATAGTCAGCTTAATAGACTGTCTTGAAAAGACCTCCACAGCCTACATCATGGAAATCAGCGCTGAGAAGACCAAACTGATGTCGAACAGCAACAAGAACATCAAAGTGGACAACCAGGTCAACAACCAGAGGCTTGAGACTGTAGGTAACTTCAAATACCTGGATGCAATAGTGACAGATGAAGGATCAAAACCAGAAATAATCTCCAAAATAGCGCAAACTTCAGCGACAGTGACCAAGTTAAAAACCATCTGGAATGACAGAAATATCACCCTCAGATCAAAGATAAGACTGATGCGTTCCCTGGTCATGTCAGTATTTTTGTGTGCCTGTGAATCCTGGACCTTGAATGCAGACCTTGAAAGAAGGATCAAAGCTGTGGTGATGAGATGCTTCCGAAAAATCCTTGCTATCTCATACAAAGATGACATTACAAATGATGATATTAAACAACGGATCAAAAATGAAATTGGACCATTTGCTGACCTTCTCTCTCTGGTCAGGAAACGCAAACTGCAATGGTATAGACACATCACCCATTTATCCGGCCTTGCCAAGATGATCCTGCAAGGCAGCATCCAGGAAAAAAGGCAGAGCAAAGAAGAGTTGGGAGGATAACATCGAGGAATGGACAGGCCTGGACCTCAAAGACACGCTCAGGAAAGCTGAAGACCAGAAGGAGTGGAGGAAGCTGGTGGCCAAATCTTCATAAGCGCCCCGACGGACATCCAGTATGGGATAGGTGAAGGTGATTGTTATTGATCCAGCAACAGCTGGTCTCTTGCCCTTCTGTCCAGTGCCATATATTTTTTCATGAAAAAAAGATTATTGTGTGGATGTGATTTCCTGCACTCAAACAAACCCTCTTTTGTTTGTGGTTGGCGGTTGATCTAGTGTGGTTTGCTCCTTCATTCCTATCAAACATCTATCTTCCTTATCTCTCCTCCTTCTTTTTTGTTTGTTACTCTTTGGTAACACCTCTAATCTTTGGCACTTATATGATCTAATTGTGTTGCAAGTGCTGTAAAAGTTTTACTAAAACTTAACTTAAAAAACTCCCTTTCCCTTCTTCAGGTCAGAGGCCCAGATAGTGCTGGAGGAGGTGTTTAACGAGACTGGGGGGATGACCGGCATGAGACAGCCACACATCCTGGAGCAGGCAGCTGAGGCTGTCAAGGCTTTGTATCCGTGGAAATGCAGCAAGGTCTGTCTGTGTTTGTAGCAGTCATTGTTATTGTGGTGGGTTTTTAAAATAAAATTTCATAGCTGCCAACCAGTATGTAAAAGACACGTATTAATACATTTTTTAGGGTCTCAGTAGAGAAATCTGTTTTCTTATTGGAAAATATTGATTCTTTGTTTTCTAGTATTGCTCCGCATGGTTGTGCTGATGCTGAAGAAAAATTCTGAATTTTCAATGCCAGATTTCTGAGTGATAATGAGAACTTCATCCAGAAATCAATTGAAGATTTCTTTTCGTCGCCTATCACACCAAAGGGCGTATCCCTGTTTTCTTACTTTGTCAGGAGAGCGATTTAAAGATTTTCAGACTTTGGTTGCTTCATCCTTTTCCCTTGTCATTTTAGTAAATTGCATCCTACCATCGGGATATTTGGATATTGTGGGCATGATAAGATATCAAACAACAAGCAAGATTAGTTTTGCACTGTTTTTTATCATTTCACTGCGCAAATGTGCCATCTGTTGGCATACGCCCTTTCGTGTGATTGTTCATTTTTTTGTCCTGTCCAAAATCAGTGTATACGCCCATGTATACACCCTGTGTTTGAGTGTCCACACCATTAATTTCAGCCTTCAGACTGATAAGTAGGGGATAAAATTCCTCCAAGACATCACTCCTCACCCCCCACCCCCCCATTCCACCCGCCAAACCTTTCCCTTTCTCTTCTCCTCCCCTTACCTCTCTGTCTGTCTGTCTGTCTCTCTGTCTGTCTGTCTGTCTATCTGGAAAGTCTCCTCTTGTAGAACAAAGCATTTTCATGTGAAATTGGCAAGTATATGACCTGCTGGGGATCAATGTTCCCAGCCAGAATGCTGTGGTCAGCTTGAACCATCTTCGTGCAATCCTCCCTAAGTTGTCCTCCCCTTTGTTTTTCTGCATCGTGCCTGTTATAAATTTCCCTGAGTTCATTTTTCTGTGCTTCTTCCCCTTTTCAGAAAGAGTTGCAGAGTGAGCATTAGTCCTTTTTAAGGACTATGAAAGGCCAAGTTTTTTGTCTTGAACACTCATCTGAATGTGTGAAAACCTGGGATGTCATTGCATGGATTTTTTTTCACGGACATGTCGTACATTTTGGACAATGTGAGGTCTGGGTTGAGATACTCTTTGCTGGAAGAGGCCCTACAGTAGTGCGATTCCACGCGTAGACATCTGTCAATGTGTTGACTGGTTATCTCCCTGTTTTGTTCTTCTCTTGTCTTCATCTGCTCCGATTGCCCCCTCGCTTGTCTTCTTCCACATTGCTGGTCTCCGTAATCTTTGACAAAACAACTCGCGCACATTTCTCTGAAATACCCAAGGTTGCAAGGAATGTGGTCCTACACACTTTCAAGCGCTTTCCATTGACTGTGATGTAATAAGCATGCGTTTTACTGCGTCGAGAGTTTGGTTTCCCGACCTTGGGCTCTGTCGTCACAATATGCCACGCAACGAACTCTCGCTGCTTCTGCAGGTTAGCCAGTTTATAAACTGTCCTGAAAAAGTCCTGAAATATCTCCCTCCTGTCCTTTCCTGAGATTCCAGAACACTACACTGACGGCCAGCTCTCGTACATTCCATTCTAACGCAGCCCTTTCTCATCATTCGTGCTGGAACAACCTTTTTCGTGTCGGCGCTCATGTACTATTCGCCACATTGTCGCTTTCTTTTTGCATCGTTCTAAGAGTTGATTCTCTTCGTTTCTTGGCGACGCCTGGCGGGCTTACCCTTGAACTTCAAATGATTCTGGTAGCCGTTCGTTGCTACTGTGGGTTTCATCGGTCTCAAAATCATTGTGCGCTATGGATTCAGTTTGTTGATTGCCCTGTCTTTCCTTTGACTACAAAGTACTGGAACTTCTAGGAAATGATCCGTGTCCGAATCATCGAAGTCACCCAGGCCAAGAGACGTGTCTTCATTCTCAGCTTCGTGTTGATCAGGAAATTCAATTGTCATTGTAGGCCTACATTTCAAAGTTTAGCTTACGGAATGCCATCTAACATAGTCGGAGTCACTTTCAGTGAAATGCGAACTTGCCATTCTGGGCCTAAAACAGGAGAAAAATCCCGATAGTCTGAGTACAAGCTACAGAACGAATAAGGTTTGAGTTTCTTGTGTGTGTGTGTGTGTGTGTGTGTGTAAAATATAAAGATTTAGGGGCTACTTACATGGCTCACCTAGTAGACCTGTCTTCGGATCAATACAACAAAGTCTAAGTATTGATGTTTTTATCACTTCAGTCAGCAGCACTGCCCTGGGGGGGGGGGGGTGTCTAGATAGCGTTGCCTTCTAGTTAATGAGTGTAGAATAATACGCTAATGGAAAAACATATATAGCTGAGCAATATTCATGTGTATTGTTGGACAAAAAGCAGATCTGATTTAAATTTGATCAAACCCAAGTTTGCTTTTTCTAAAGGTTTCCAATAGTCAGCAGACAAGCAGATCACGTTGTGTGTGAAGTAAGCTGCAAGCAACAGTCACCAATTGTAGGCTAACAAAACAATAAGGACCGCCTCATTTTCACTCTTGCACAAGCAGGATTCGCTGCACACAGTGCGTGTACTCTGTGTTGTGTATCAGGCCTATTGCATCATTAGAGGAGGGCCTAGAATCTAGTATTACTATGATATTGCGTTATACGGCCCTGGCCTATTCCAGAAAATAAAAGACAAAAGTGTTCCTGTCGCTCACACGAAGGGGCATATCCAATGTATACGTCCTTTCGTGCGAACAGAATTGATAAAACTTTGTATCAATTTTTTGCACACGAAATGGCGTAAGCCTGTGTACGCCGTTTCGTCTGGTTCGGCGGCGCTGAGTGTCAGCGTATGCCCTTTTTGATTTTTTACTGCTAGAACTGTTATTTTAAAGCTAGGGATACGCCGTTTCGTGTGAACATAGATCTGAGGCAGCGCTATCTACTAGTAGTAACAACTCAAAACTGCCAAAATCTGGAATACGCCCTTTCGTGTGACAGGCGACGTTTTGCTGCAGGTTTATTTTGAATGGTTTGAATTTTTAGAATGTAGAAAAGTGTGTGAAGTGTTTAGAGAGGGGTGACTTGACCAATTCTCACGTATTTTACCCGCCACGTGGGTAGGGTCTTTTTTTGTTGTTTAAATGCTATGAAATTTAAATGAACCAACCCTCCCTTCACAAGATACTGGAAATGTCACGTTGTACTCTTGTTCACGCTCAAGAAACATGTGTGCTGATGTCTGTGGTGTCATGGATAAGCTTACACGTGAGGGTTGTGAAACCGATTTCCAGAAGAGGAAGGTATTCTACTGAATGTCTCCCTCTTCTTACTGGGATGTATCCCACTCAACCCCGAGGCGGTCCCGACAGGCAAGGTCAAATCAGCCAGTTCGCACTTGTGTTAAAACTGACCTCGCTATTTACCATCCATCGAATTTGTGAAAAATGTCTCTGTTCTCTCCTAGCCTGCTGTAATAACTTCCTCCTTGTTCTGAGTCTTGCGCTTGTATTTCTCTGGGTAAAGTTGATTTACACACTGCATACAGTGATGTTTATATTTCTCTGTTAACTTTGGATTTACATGGATTTTGGAGTCAGTTTGGCTTCAACCTGCACTCAAATCCACATTCAATACTGCCTTTCTTAGTTTATAAGGGTCATGCTCTGCTGGGTCCTGGCATAAATTATTTCCACGATCCCTGAAACTTGTCTATGGATTAGTTGTCTTATTTGGTGGTCGTTTTTCCTCCTGTAGGACAAGAGCGAGGAGGACAACAACGATTCACCGTAGGAGACGGAGAGTACCAGCGAGAGTGTTTCAGACATCCCCAGCCCGTGAAATGAGAGTCAGAGAGTTCAGGAAGAGAGAATGTGGAAATATATGAGTCAGAGAGTACCATGGAGAGAGTATGTGGGATACAGCTATCCACTGAAATGTGAATTGAAAAGTACCAGCAAGAATGTATTGAAATCTCCTGCCACAAATGTTAATGAGGTCTCAGTCAAAGGAGACCAGGAGTTGGTTGAGCAGGCCTTCATCTGCATTCTTATGCCAACAAAAATAGCAGTATTGGTCTGATTTTTCAGTTTTTACCTTGTATATATATTGCACCTGTTTTTAATAAGCTCATTAAGTATTATTTTTGTGTACACCTCAATTGAATTTCAGTTTTAGATAATTTCCATATATTGTTATGAGGTTGTTCATGGTGTGAGTTGTCTACATGATGTTTTTTAAATTAATTTTTTTTTAAGGTACCTACATTCTTCTTGTCTTTGGGGTTTTGTGTAGAGAAGAAATTTCTTCAGTTTGCTTTCCACATTGTCATCCCCAGAATGTTTTTGTTAATGACCCGAGAGCAAAGATTTTTTTTCTTCAAATGATCTGTATTTCTTGTCAAGATTTTTCTTTCTTCCTTTTCTTGTTTTTCCCTTTTTCTTTGGCTTTTTAAAATAGAATTTACTGAGTAAATGAACTTTGTTTTTTGTTTTTAAACAGCATGTACTGGGTAAATGTTCAGTTTCCTTCGTAGGTTGTTTTTAAAAATGTTTGTATCCTTTGTCTTTCTGCATGTGGCAAGTGGTGGAGATTCCTTTTGTAGTAATGTCATGAATGTAACCACAGCTTACTACATTCTGCCTTCCACAACTGAAGTTTGTTGTGTCATTATTCCCAAGAACTGTTTTCTTTACAATGAAGCTATAGTTCTACTCCTCCCCACCCACCAAGCCTACTTTATTACAAAGTTTTTGCGACAGTCATGTTGTTTATGTTTATTTTTTAATATAACTCTCAATGAGAGAGGGAGAAACATTGACAGCATCCAGTGGGATGTCTACCCAAATGATGGTTCCATATATATCATTGAGCAGAGGATGCATGGATAAAACGCAGATAGACAAAATTTTGCAGTAAGGCATATGTTCACCAACTTTTTCATTACCATCGCCTTTGTAAGTGGATTTTTCATTAATAACCATACTTTGAAACAAAACAAATCAATGATTTAATTTCCTTTTCTGTTTACCTTTAGTTAGTTTGTTCCCTTGGTTGGCCACCACTGGGTTGTTTGTTTGTTTTTTCTGTTTAATTTCTTACCTAATGGATAAAACACAAGGCGACTATGAGACCCTAATTTTTAGGCAAAAGTTGTGTCCAATTCGCAGTGATACATATTATGTGACTGAACTCACTATAGGCCTTTAAGAAGAGGTACATCACAGAGTCAAGTTTTAGTATTATATATTCATAAAAGTTGATCCTGTTTGATTTATGTTTGTGGTCTTAGTGGGACTTTCTGGAGATAAGAAGATAGGACAGCCCCTCACATTGTACATAATTTCTGTATGGGCTTTGAGTTCACTCACCGAGAGAAACTGCATATTCAGGTTCCTAGTTTCCATTCTCTTACCACCTTTATTTCACTGCCACCTTTATTTCACTGCCACCATTTTGAAAGGAAATTGTAAACACTGGCAGCCATTATATGTGACTGGCATGGCGCAGACCGGTGTGAAAACTCCTGGTGGGACGACCCGGCACTACCTCAATGATTAAATGCAATCGGTTCCTCAGGGTTTGCAGGCCATCTGTCAGTGCAGGAGTATTTTTGTTCTCTTTGCCAATTTTCGTCTATTTCGTCTTTGTTTGCATTCCTTTTAAAGTTAAAGTGCCTGATAGTTGCATCTCTAAGAGATAAGCTGTCATCTTGGCTATATGGTTTTTCATACTTTCTGTCTAACTTTTTTTAAACAGTGTCCTTTAGAATGAGTCTGTTTTGTTTGTTCCAAGTGTTTTCTCTTCAACTTACGAGACCCACCGGGGCGGTGTCACTGACTGAAGTGTCTTTAGGCCATTCCTAAAGGGGGGACATTTCTCGCTCTAGTTCACAGTAGAATTGTAAATGGGCTGATCTAACAAAGTCATGCTCATAACTCTGCCTGAACTACAACAGGGAACTGTTGCTTTTTCTTTCCTAATCCTTACATTTTCCTCTACTTCTTTTGTATGTTTGTCACACTCTTGTGACCCGCTATTTCCGAGGTGCCTTGATAGTCGAAGCTGACTTTTTGCTGTTGAAGCGAGAGAGGTGGGCAAAGTAAGTCTGATTCCCTGTAAGGACTTTTTTGTTGACATACATGCCTTGGCGCTCATGATATGACCTTATGCAGTTGCGAGCGCCGTAAAACATCTACTAACACTAAAACAACTTACGAGGCGAGAACTTCACTATTTGTTTCCTTCCATGTTTCTGTTATCACTGACTGTGTTATGAGAACTAAGCATTGGGTTGAAGGGGGCCATGGGCAGACCCTATTTCTTTACTTTCTCACAGTTGTTTCAGTCTATCTGTCTGTCTTACTTTTTTCCAACACTAAATAACGATTATTGTGTCGAAATACTTCTACTAACCCAAACAAACGAACAATGATAATATGTGAAGTATACTCAGTCAGGTTGTTCACATAATACTCTACCCCTTTTGGATTATGTTTTTGTATTTTTGTCATTTTTACGATTCTGTTGTTGTCGTTTGCTGAATTTGTTATTGTGAGCATTCCAAATGGTTGGTACTGTTTTATCACTCTGTAACATACAAAATTTACACAAAGTCAAAGTCAAGTGAGAATGGATTTACAGGTCCAAAGTATCTGGACTATTTGATATTTTCAATTTATCCACCTTGTGTTCAACCAGCTTTTATGGAAACAAATTAGAATGATGCGTTTACTGATTGTTTTTAAAGTTTTACTTGCTGAATAAACATACATGAAAATTATACGTTTTCGTACTGTGATTCTTCTTATGTAGTTTGTTTGCGGATAGTTGGTGAAGGGCATCGCTGGTAATTCCTACTTCTTTACTTCCCCCTCTGTGAGCGTCAGTGGCGAAGCAGTAAGTCACTTCGTTGTTGCATGCAGGAGACCTGAGTTTGATTCTGAAGAGGAGAGAAAAATTTATGTTGAGAGACTCAGTCTTTCTGCTGGGATGTTGAAACCCTCTCAGCCTGGGTTGGTCCTGACAGGTAGGATCGGAAGCCCGCCTCCTACAAGATCTAAATTGAGTTAATGAGGGCTGTAATATCTAACACCTTGCCTTCTCGGAGCTCCCGTGTGCAAGTTGCGCACGTTAAAGATGGCTTGGTGGTCCAAAACCGATAAGAGTAGGCTTCGGCCACCACCAGGGCGACATTGAAAATTAATTCCCCCCGAACTGAAAATATTTAATGTGTCCCTAGCGCTCATAGTATAGTCATAGCATGACCTTATGCAGTTGCAAGCGCCGCAAAACGCTTACCCCCCCAAAAATCGTTTTTTTTTAAACCACCCAAAAACAGCCAGCTCTCTGCGCTTTTGAATAAAATATTTAACACACATACTCAAAATACATAATACAGTCAAACCTACTCTAATGGCCACCTGTATATTATATTACAATCACCTATACACACAGCCAGTTCCCGTTTCTTCCCTTGCGTATATTTTACGTTATGATGAAATTGTGTAAGACGGTCACCTACCAGAGACGGCCACTCTTCTCTTTGACAATGGGTTGCCATCATAGACAGTTTCGTCTGTACATATGTCTGTGTTGTTGTTTCAGTGGCTGAACATCTAGAGGTGTTTACGTGGACGGTTAGTGGATGCCACTGGTACTTCTTTACATTCCCTATGTTGTTCCTACTCTGTCTGTTTAACTTTTTTCCAGCACTAAATGGCTGTCATTGTGTTGATGTGCTTCTCTTTAGTCAAACAAACGAGGGCAGTTTATCGACCTGAAAGGTCGCGTCTGTTTGTTGGGGGGGGGGGGGGTGTGAGTCCACGAGAAGGCGAGAGTGATCGGAGGGCACCCCAGGTATATGTAAATCTCCTATATACAGTATAACTATAACACGGATAGGTGGAACACAGAAGACTCGAATCACGCATCTGCCAAACTGTGCCTATGGTCTCGTTTTATTTTCTTCTTTATCTTTGTAAGACACTCTTCGAACTACGGATCCCTCGAACTACCGAGGCCGGTCCCGAAGAATTAGAGCTATCCGTGTTATAGGCTACTGTATTGTTTTCTTGCTTTCTTGTTTCCGTCTGTGTGTCTTTACCCCCCCCCCCCCCCCTCCCCTGACGTCTGGATGTACAGGTGTAGACAGAGGAGAGTCACCTTTCTGGAGGTAACCCCAAGCCTCTCCACTCACCTTTTGAGGAGAGAAAGGGAAGAGGAAAGTCGACGACAGAGTGAAAGTCTCTCCCCTCCCCCGACGTCCCCTATGAAGGGGTAACATCTCCACTCTTTTGAGTCAGTGTTCGTGATTGTTATTATATTTTCTTAATATAGAAATATTGTTAAGGCTGGCCTATTCTTGTCTGTACTCTGTACAAGATGGTGGAAGAAATATTTCAGTGGATGGTTTTATATTGGTTGAGAAAACGAAGGCTGAACAGACGCCGTTACTGGGTTCACAAATACCAACGTCGTAGTAAGTATGGTTAATATTTAAATATCGTCATTTTGTATCGTGTGCAAGTGAGTACACACAGCGAGGGGGGGTTGGTGACTGAAGATGCAAGGAATTTTAGTGCTGCGTTAAAATCCAGTCACCAACCTTTATGGGGGCTCGGAGGGCACTCGCCTCAAAAAGGAGAAGTGAGAGGCTGGTGACTCTAATCTGTCGCTCGCGACTCTTTTCTTGTAAATTAAACCTGCGCTCCCCAAATTAGGGCCAGACGGGGGAAAAGCAACGGGGTAGGTGACTCCACTCTGTCTGCACGTTAACAACAACACATGCAAGCCATGTCCATAGCTGTTAAAAACTTCACGGTACTTCATTTCGCTACCCTAGAATTACAAAGTTCTATTTGCTCATTACCTAGTTGTGAGAAATTAATTTGACGTTAAATTTCTTAAGTTTCACAACATAACCAAGCCTTTTCGAATGTAATTCTTTGAATATCTTGATAACGACTGCGAATAGTCTTACGATTTTGATAGAGCAGATAGAACATTTGGTCCCTGATCTCTTGGTTTTGATAATTAAAAATGGCCAGAAATGTCAGTTAGAACTTTTTAATTACATGTATAAGGTGGCGATTGGGCCTTGAGACAAACTG